GTCTCTCAAATCCTCACGCTGCCCATTTTTCCTGCTTCTAACACATCAACTTTGAGGACAAAATGTTCACTTGCTGCCTAATATCTCCCACCCAGTGACAGGTGCAATGATAACCAGTGTTATTCACTTCACCTGTCAGTGCTCATAATGTTATGGCTGATGTGTGTTTACAGCAGGATTAATGAGAGTTAGAAACCATCTTTTTCACCAGCTAACATCGTTCCACAGCAGCTACACTAACAAGGCTGCCTGCAGATGGGTCTGAAGAAAGGCTTTATCATCCCTTATTGATTACCCGCTTTTTATTGCCAATTACCGATAACATAACCGTTAATTTTACATTTTTGTATTTCAAAAAGAAGTTCATAACTTGCAGTTCATGCACACCTGAGGGTACGAAAGACTAAGATGCAGTGAGCAAAGATGTTTTTTATATGGTTACAAGCTCACGCAAATTATTTACATATAGGCTAAGCTATTAGAAACACCCTAATCCAGAAATCCAGAGAGAGACAGTGAGAGAGAAGGTCAAATAAGCCTCACACCTGCTGACTGCCTGCACGGACGCATGAGGAGAGGCAGAAACCCCAGCGCTGTTGGCAGAAGAGCTGTGGACTGTGATTACTCTGATCAGCATGCAAGGGAATGAATTACAATATAATATATTTGAATATATTTCTCACCTTTCCCCTGATGTACCACAGTCGCAGGGGGGCTGCTGCCATATACTAGGCAATAGCTTCTAAATAATCAATGAATTCATTCATCAGCTTGCACCCTGCTATGAGCTCCTGTAACTACTCTTACTAAGTGAGACAACCTGCAAAAGAGTCTGCTTGCAAACGCTTACACAACACAATGAATGCGTCCTTTCAGCTGTCATGCGTTGTTTACCTATTCAGAGTTGTGATTTCAATCATATACAGCGTGTTGTGTTTCTCCCTTTGTGTTGTTTCCTCTCTCTCCAGGCCCCGGCGCCTCCCCCTTTCCCCTTTCCCTTGTGGTGAGAAGGCGTTGAGACGATGTTTTATGCCCACTTTGTGCTCAGCAAACGTGGGCCGCTGGCCAAAATCTGGCTGGCGGCCCACTGGGACAAGAAGTTGACCAAGGCACACGTGTTTGAGTGCAATCTGGAGAGCAGCGTGGAGAGCATCATCTCACCCAAGGTAATTTCTCATGGTCTTCACTTTCACAGGACATCCTATAATAACAAGGTTCTGTTAATAATCTAACTATGTCTGATTGGCTCTTTAAGTCTATCAAGACTTCTTGTATCCTCAGGCGTTATGTGAAGACTGTTTTGTATCATTCATGCTGAAATGTATTGATTGATTTCGTCACAGCAGGAAAAATATTCTCACAATTTTGGTGATCAGTGGTTGTAAATGAGTTGGTTATATTGTCTCACAAATGCAAAACCTTGCTAACAAATATGATTACTTTAGATTCAGTGAGTTCTATGCCTGCTGATTAGACTTAAGTAGGCAATTTGTACACATAAGTTGGGGCCTTTGTAACATGGGATGGCCATTTGTAATTGGTTTTGACATTTTTTTTTATATAACTGTTGTGTTGGTTGAATATTCTGTGGACTAATCCATGTAAATAACCCTTAGTTGCAGTCTTCATATCATTATTAGAAGTGCACTCTATTACTGTTTTTATTTTATGCTGAAACACCATTGATGAGAGCACATAAGATAAGCTATTCCTTTATTTGTCCCACAATGGGGAAATTCCGAATTCTGATCTTCTCTATCCTTTTATCCTTATTTTATAGGTGAAAATGGCTTTACGAACATCGGGGCATCTGCTGCTGGGGGTGGTGAGGATCTACCACAGGAAGGCCAAGTACCTGCTGGCAGACTGTAACGAGGCCTTCATCAAGATCAAGATGGCGTTTAGACCAGGTCGAGAGATTTAAGCATTTCTAATGTCCCTTGAGAGAGATAATGTTCAGTTGTGTCATAGCTTTGTCTTTGGCAATACAGATTAATCACACACAAATGGGCACACATGCCAAAAGTATTTAATATTTTCCACAGTATAATTATGACATTGTGATTGAGTGTATACATTAGAAAATGTGGGAAAACGCATGTACATAAATGTGTACAGTATATAAACACTGATTGATTCCACTGCGTCCATCTGTTGTTATGAACTATGACTCTTTTCCTACATTGTGGTCTTTCAGGTGTTGTGGATCTTCCAGAGGAGAACAGAGAAGCAGCCTACAACGCGATCACGCTGCCTGAGGAGTTCCATGATTTTGATCAGCCACTACCAGACCTGGAGTGAGTCCTCCGTCGGTCTGCCTGGGAGAGAATACACATAAACTGAATCATACTTGTGCAAAAGACACCTGTGCAAACCATGTATAAATAAAAATGGACGTAGTCTCCGTGACATCACCCATAGGTCTCTGAAGAGCTGCTGTGAAGCTCAGTGTGGTTGGTTCTGGCCGTCGCCATCTTGGCAGTCCTGACTCCGCCGGCTCCCGGCAAATCCGTGAATGGGCAAAGATGTGGAGCTGAGGTGGGATGAATGAAGCCTGGTAGCTGAAACCAGCCACCTGTGACTTCACCCACCTGTCACTCAAACTGGCCATGCCCTTAATTAGGCATAACCTAATACTTTGCAGTGAACCTTAATATAATTTAAATTGGTGAGTTATGTATAAATTGACTAGGCTGTAAACATGTTTATTTCTGCTGTAGAGTTGGGCATTGTAATAAGGGGGCTTTTGTTGCTTTGGCTTTATTTGTCAGCCACAGAGGTTGCCGCTTGGCGCAAACGACAATTAGACAGCCAGGGGTAAAGAGATGACAGAAATAAAATGGAGGGAGATATCAGGAATGTCATGTCAATGAGGACTTCATGGTTGGCACCTTAATCCCTAGACCACCAGGGCACAATGCTTGTCCAAAAAACACCAGTTTCTGTCTTTTTTCTAGTATATTCCTGCCTTGCTCTTGCTCGCCACTGGCACATATAACTGATTTCTATATTCTGGGAAATGCCATTTCTAATCAAATCACTAACCAATGTTAAAAGAGACAGGACAGGTGAACTGACAAGCACATCATCACTAAATAATTGCTGGAAGGCATTCAGTGTGCATCAAAGTGCAAATATATTTCAGCAGCACACTTCATCTTTTCTATTGCTTACAAAAAAAAATACATTTGAAGAGAAGTGCTGTAAATACAAGATAGATCATTGACTGTGTGCTGTGTTTGTACAGTGATATTGACGTTGCTCAGCAGTTCAACTTGAACCAGAGCAGAGTGGAGGAGATCACCATGAGAGAGGAAGTTGGAAACCTCAACCTGCTGCAGGACAATGACTTTGGTAGGCATCTTCCTTCTAAGCGTGCATGCTTTTGTTCAGTAATTTCATGCTTGGCAGTCACATTTTAAACATCTACGACAGTTTGAACACTTGATGTCATTGTCCTTCCCTGTCGCCCGCATTCCACACTGTATACTGTAAAGACACATTTCTGTTGTGCAGCTGACTTTGGTATGGACGACCGGGAGATGATGCGGGAGGAGAGTGCGTTTGAGGTGGACATCATGGGAGCGTCAGCTTCCAACCTGCTGCTGGAGGCTGAGGGTGGAACCAACCAGATGGCTGACAAGTCCAACCATCTAGAGTACGATGACCAGTACAAGGACGATTTTGGAGACAACCCCATGGAGAGCAATGAGGGAGGCATGCTAGGTAGGATCCTGTCAATTCTTAATTATAGGCATTACACCTACCCACAGTTTTCATCTGATTTTAGCAGTAAAACAGTTTTTTGATTGTGCAGCACTTTCAACTGTTGTTGTTTTAAATATTCCATACATTTTGATTGGTTTAGATTAGATTTCATGACAGTGGCTCAAGCTTGTCGTGGCTGACTTTTAACAGAAAATGAGCATGAAGGTTGCTGTCATCACATTTAGTGATTTAGCAGGATCCTTTCATTTATTGTGCAGTGACTGTTAT